CTTACATGTTCTTTCTTTCCTACTCTTAAATAAAAATAATGATTTGGGGTATTCTTAAGTTAACAATAACACAATAGTTTTCTAGTAAACCATAGATGTTAATACCTCTTGTCAACTAAATATGATTTTATAAAATGTGTATAGCAATCAACATGTTCATTAAAGCGTTGAAATAAAGAAAACTTGAAAAAGTAGTGGCGAAATTGACAAGTGTATATTTGAGAAAAGGGGGTCATATCAAACATTGACTAGTTTGATGCTTTAACTTTGTGGCTTGCACCTATAAACTTAACATCAGAGAGATAAGTGACCGAACTATGCTCAGTCAAATTTTGGTGCATTTCAGACAAAAATAAAGGTTTTGTGTTCAATTAACAAATGTTCCAATTATTTTTGGACCATCCTGTATATATGGTCATTAATGGGATATACCGTAGTTATTTTCTTTTATCATAAAGAATTTGCTCAACACCTATATCACATTCCTAAATGATGGGAATAAAATTATAAATTGGGAAACACATTTGTTTGAAATATTGGATGGACAACATTGGGCATAAACGATTTAATTTGAACCAGACTGATAATTCAAAATACCATGGACCAAGTGAATATCCAAAATCGCTGTTGCTCCTCAAATTAGATCGCAGTTCTTACAATAGTTACCTTTGTCAGATACGTATGTGTACGTGGTGTATACAGTGAATCAAATCTCTGTCCGCCATTATTGACAACGACTTCTGTAGTAACCGTTGTCGCCTGTCAGGGTATTCAGGTCAGGTGTGTATTACGTAGTAAATTCGAATAGAATAATTTCCCGGGACTCATTTGGTTTTGGGGGAAAAACGTTAAAGGGACCTGAACGTTGTCCATAATGTGTTGTTACGTTTTCCCAGAAAATGTTGCACATATGACAATTCAAACTATCATTACACCCAACCTCCCCCAAAAACTGAAACATTTGCTCTATATTCAGTTAAATTGACATAAATGGTTCTGTTTTAGAATTTTGCGCTAGACTGAGCAATAAATGCAAATCCAGGGGAAGAATGTTTGAAATAAATACGGTATTTGAACATTTGACATAAGATCCTGGAATTTGAAACTTTAAGAAATGACAGCGGAATAATTCAATGTAACTTCGGGACTACACACTGAGGAACTAGCTGGAGTTTAATTGGTGGCACTCGACACCTCAGAAAGTTCTGAGATAGGCTGGAGTTATCTCAATGGATCAATGCAGCGATTAACGCTACACTTAATCTGCTAATCCTAATGAATTACTACATCTTCCCTTACTATTCATTACTCCGCTCTCTGTCCAAAGTTCTACAATTTGAATTACGGGATTGTAGGAATTTTGATGAATGAATGTGTGGTATTATCTGAATTTTAAATTGATAGTTCTCTGATATGTTGAAATACTACAATTATATCATACGTTTTAAACTATTTTGGGAAGGCATCAACTTGGACGATTAGATCTCTTCGTAGGTCACCTGTGTGAGCGGCTGTCAGAGATACGTCCTGCCAATGTACCACACGATTTTTCAAGTCTTAAATTCTAATGTAAAGCTAAAGATTTGCCGAATTGATGAAGAAATTAGACTGGAATGAGTAAAACTCTTGAAGAAAGTACAATATTTTTGATCATTGACACTCGATATAGTTGAAACCGACAACTAAGATCCGTCTTTAAATTACAGGGAACATAATCCAGATATGGTGCTTTTAGCTTTATACATGTGTATTTACACATCCTCAAGCCAAAACAAACTTAATCATTATAGCGCTGGGTCGTATCAGGGCTGTCCAACCAACGTTTTACCTACACCCACGAGCCTGTTCAATTACCTTCATAGATATTAATGACCCTGTTTTGAAAGAAATGTCAGTCGAAAGTGGAATTTCATTTTATCATACATATAATAAGTTATTTGGAACGCATTTGTATTAGTTCATTATGTGCTATTATTCTCTTGCAGAAAAGGAAATCAATTTGCACTTACGACATTATACAACAACCCTGCATTTTTCTCATAAATTTGTCAATTTAGGAAATTACCCCCTGATATATGGTACAATGGTACATTGACAAAGATATTAGGAACAAACTGCAGTGTTGCAGTTTTACCACCCTGTAATATACAAGGTAAGATAAGCAATGCTTGCTATTTAAGTGTAATCAGGAACATTAGGACCAAAAGAGGGGCTAGGTGTCAAGACATTCTCTTCTATACCTGGTTATTATATCACCATCACAAGGGTTGACATATTGTTATAGTCTCCAACTTTTTGTGTACGGTGGGGGTTGGTGTTCGGATGTTTGCATGTTAATGCCTTATAATATTATGGATAGCCGATCATGACATGTCAATTTCCAAGATGCACAAATCACAAGTTCCACTTATACCGAATGATTAGTGAGTATGCCAGTCTACCAATGCTGTCTTGTACTTTTTACTCAATTCATAATATTATTAGACATCACATTTTTCAAAATTGATGTTATACTTCCACATCAAAAAGAGCTTATCATAACTATGAGTATAATTTTAGTAGAAATTGCTAAAAATATGCTTCAAGTGCGTCAAAGAACTAAAGGCCGTTTCAAGGTAGTGTGGGGCCAGCTGCGGCCGTCATTAGTTATGAAGAATCTTATGTATATCGGAAGAACACACGTGCTTAATTTTTCTCATGTTGAAGTGGAAGGATAGAGCTACGAGTCAGCACATAATAAGTGTTTAGTGATAGCGATCAGAAGCGTTTAATTAAAATTGTGATCTTATCGGAGGAAGAACAAGCGAGCGTTAAGGAGTACGATTGCGAAGATTGATCGGGCCCATACTATTCATCTGCCCTTATTAGCCACAGACAGAACAGCTATAGTTTTGCAACATGAGGCTATTGGAAAAATGACCATACATTTGCGAAAATTTCATGTACATTAAAATATAACAAACATCCACTTATTTGTCTTTGCAGTAATTCGGTCTTCTTTTGCTTTCGAAAGCAGCAATAGCACCGCTACTACTTTGGTAAAGACGGTGAAGGAATCTTTGATTCAATATCACGTTATTCCACTCGATCGTACACCGGTCAACCTCCCTTCTGAAAATTACCAAATTAATTTTGCTGTGCCAGAATGCTATGTTTCCATACTACTTACTTCTCTGACACCTCCAGCGTGTGAACGTAATGCTGCAGGGAATGCTATCATGATCAAATGATCTAGGATCTTCCCGATAAAAGCGCCAGTTGTGCAGTGATACAACTGAAGATATCTCCGTTATCTATGATATGTAAAATCGATTAGGCACCGTTTGTATCGGCGGAGAGACTTGTCTGTAAAGTTAATAGTGTATTCTAAAGTTCTAGTCATAATAAACAATGTTGGAAATGTTACTTTTACTGAGCTTATTTGGCATTCCATGGACAACAAAGTCCATAGCAAATCTTACAAGAATTAACTCTAAGATTACAGATTGAAAGAGAAACAAGAAAATTGCATAATAGTCATTTGAGCCTACAGAGTTCTAGAAAGATATTGAATTTTAAGATTTTGGTGAAGAACCAAACATTTCCATATAATGGTACCAAGTATTTAAGTGGAAGTGGAGTTGACCGTTCCCTATCATTTGGGATATGAAAATATCAAACGGGTAATTTACTGCAATATGTTATTTCAAAAAGCTTTTTAAATATTTTTCTTGTTTTGTGGTTGAGTTTTAAGAACAGCGATGGAGAAACATCGATAGTAGATACGCTTGACGCCTCCCGCACCTATCACGGCCACCTGTCCACCATTTGCACCAGAGATCGACAGAACCCGTTCAGCAATTCATTAACTGAAACAACAGTTATTTTTTCTACAATTACTAAGAAAACATGGACCAGCGGTGCGACTACGTAACAAGTCATTTTCCAAAAGATTTATGTGCAAATAATTGATGTGAGGAAACACCTCTTGTTTTAAAGTCCCTTTGATCCGAACCTGTAACTTTTTTCAACTTCATCCGGTGGTTAAGGTTAATGTTAACGTTAATGAATGGGGATTCCTAAAATTTGCGGAAGTTTTTGGAGATTTTCTCACATACTCTTTCATATGTCTCATACTCTTGAACCGCAGGGACTCCTTAATACTTGTTATATCCATGCATCCATACCCTTTGCATTCGTTCGACTTCACTTCTTAAAAGAGAGCTTCGTCTTCGTAGTTAATAACTAGACTCTACGCGCAAGGATGACATCCCTAAAAACCCTAATCATATATTATAAACTTACGTTTATCATGAGATGGTGTTATGACCATGGTCCAACATTATAAAAACCTTAGTCATTCGGGATTACCCAGGCAAAAAGTCAAGGATGTGAGGTGAATTCATGGAGGTTTGTTTCCGTTTCATGAGTACACCCCTTCTCAATAGTTAAAAAGTAATGTTACATTATTCTGTATATTCCCAAGTATTGTCAATCCCCAATCGCTGAAATCTTTGAAAATTGGTATTGACAGTTTGAATTAGTCTCCCGGAATTTGTATGCATGTGTATATCACTTTATTGAATGAATTCAATTAGTCATTTTTGTATTATCTAAAAAGGAAGAATACAACTGAAAAGTCCTTGTAAATTAACAAAATCAATCACTTCTATGCTTCGTTTGGCATTGCCCTTTGCGTACCCTGGACGCAGAATCTAGTCATGCTATAAACAAAAGACAAAGCTCTCTTTTAATAAACGAAGTTGAACGAATTTGGGATATTTGGCAAATAAGCCCAGATTTTTACGGGCGGATTAAATTACGCCGTGATGTGACGGAACGCGTGAATGTCCTATCACGTGTAGTCAAAGACGTCGATCGAGCGTCATATTTTAGGTATACTAATCCTGACTCATTTAGAATGATGAATAAGATCATTATCACTTCATTATCACATACCCACGTACTTCGATTTACATGTAAGTATTCAAACTTAGAAAATGACAAATCTGGTGGGCACTAAATGTATATATAAGCTACATATGTGATGCACGATCAGAATTCAAACGACTCATCAAAGTCATTACTAAAAGTATATGTTGTTTCAAAAATTGTTAAAATATGTCGATATTATACTCAAATAAATTAAGTTTTGAATTCGATGTTGGCGTTATTGAAAAGTATGATAAAATAAATAATATTATTTCTACAACTGGAAAAAGCATCAACGTTGGAAAAGGTAGGCCTATTTTATAAATTCGTTTTGTTTAAAATAAGAAAAATAATTTATTTTCAAGGAAGTTCTTATCTATGCATTCACATCAGATGTATTTGTGTAATTCAAAAACGACCTGGCCCTTGGCCATAGGATGGTCTCGCAAATTAAGGTCCACAAAAAATGTTGATTTAGGGCGCGCGAGTGTACTTTATTATGGATCTGCATCACTGTACATAACAAAAGTGAAATTAAATGTAGGATAACTATATTTTGTTTATTTCTTGCTCATCATCACTTAACAGTATACTATTATTTTTTATTTTAGTAAAACGATACTCTCGTCATCTCTACAGTCCGACTGCCACGACATACAATAACTGCAGTCACGGTCACGAGTCAACATCTAGGAAAATTGATTTGAACACGCTAAAATCTCCCGATCAAAGAATAGCCTGCTCCAAGTCTCTGCTTCAACAAACACGAAATACCACACGAGCAAAAAGAAATATTTGTAAACGGATAGCCCATTCGCAGCCAAAAAACACGCATTCTGGTGGTTATGAAAATTCGGATCCGAATTTTAGTCGAGTAAGTAGAGTTTTGTAAGTTCTCAATTTCATTTTCCGAGTTGCTTCAAGTCATATCATATTTTCTTGAATGACCATAACGGATTGAAAATGTTAAAAAATAATCTAATTTCAGATTTTAAATGACTTATTCTGATTTCAGCTCCCACCAGTCGAAATGGAAGAGAACACTAAGGATTTCAACATGAAGATCCGTGAAATTGTCCGTCCCAATTGTCTTGAACTTTCCAACGAGGCAAGCGGCAGATGAGAGGGTGTCTCGTGAACCAGAATGAACTATGGCTCATACGGAACAATTAAACATCTCAAAATGCACTGGAAACTCGAATTGTTTGAAATAAATAATTTATAAGGCTATGTAGAAATCAATTTAGCAAGATTAACATGGTTGTATTTCATGTGGATCGGCCATTGCTCAACTCAAATACATTTCTGAAATTGTTGAAATTATAGGTTATAATTCAACGGTATTGTTAATGTTAATGGTATAACAATAAAAAATAAAGAAAAACAAATATGACCCGCGGAATGTTTTGTTTCAAATGTGGAGGCTTCGAACTTCGGACTCTTTGAGCATATTTTATTATGTCACGATACAATCAATCGTTCGCATTCAGCGAAAGAAATGCAGATGAAAAGCATTATTTTTCATACTTGTCATCTCTGCGTTGAACCTCATCATAAGAAATCATGACATTCTTTTAGTTCCTTTATGAAAGAAAGCGTATTGGTAAAGATGTGATGAGTACAGAATCAGAAAAAATGTCGGAACCTCGAAAGTGTGATTTTTCTTCGATGATTATATCGTCTAACTCTTCCGAACCATTTCTTAACAAACGTTTAAATTTTCTTAAACATATGATACGGGCACACGTTTGTGATAAAAACACTTCGAGGTTCCGACATTTTGTTATCGAAACTTATCCGTTTCGGTGACAACGTTTCGGTAACTAGTTTGAAGAGTGGTACCAGTGAACTGGAAATGAAAAAGTTGTAACTTTATTTCAGGATAACCCTTCGCTTTTTTAGTTTTCTGGCAATAGTTTTTGAAAAAAGTAAACCCCTTTAGAAAAAAGATTACATTTTTATCCAAAAATGGGTGTCCATCTTGATTTGAGCAGGCATATTGGAAATTCTTTCACCGGCAGATCCAGGTCCAATGCTCAAAAAATCCGTCGACTGGTGCTTGAGTTATCACCCTGCCGGATATACGAACGGAGGGACAAACAGACGGCTTTTCTATATCCCTGTTAGTAGGATAAAAAATATAGAGCGAACTGTTAACAATTTACATAAAACAGTTGAGTTGAACCAGCCAGGACTGCACAGGTGATCAAGACAAGACATGTTCCTTTTGTTCTTAAATGTGTCTTACATAATGTTTCTCGAACATTGTCATTTTCTCATTCACTATTCATTCTAAGGAGAACATTTAATTTCAAATAAACAAACATGGTTAATTATAATATTATATCATTCTATTTGAAATGAAAATTGACTATAAACATAAATACATATTTTAACACCCAGTAGAGGTGAATCTTAACAATATGATATACATATAATAACAACGAACCAATTATGCATTCTGATACTCATAGCATCTTTCTGTTTCACCTGAAACATTTTAGGGCTGAGAAGAAATGAGATGTCATGGTTTATCATAATGCCAATTATGGTTCAGATAACATTATTCTATCTAACTATAAACCTGAGAACAACCATGAATACTTTAACAAAATTAATGTGACACTGAAAGAATGCCTATGCATGTTAACAACATTAATACTGTAATAACCTGTAAAATAATATGTGAAATAAAGATTTAATATAAAAAGAAAAAAGATTCAAGGCATTTCAAGGCATTCTGCTTGGGTTGATCAAACAAAATAACATAATATTCATCACCTGTAAATATTATTTGGGGATTTCTCTAAAAAGATAAGTAAAAATGAATCAAATAAAAATTCAATAGCTGAGAAAAATTATATTCCTTCAATATTAACCTGTAAATTGCCAATTCAAAGTTTGGTATACATTTCATTGTCAACCTCTCAAGAGGTCAACAGTTGTATATTTATAACAAGCCCTCGGATAACTTCAAAGTGTATGAATGATTTCTAACTCTTGAGACATAATTGCTTCACAACAGTATGAGAATCCTCCAAGAAACAGAAACATGTCCATAGACAGTACCACTTTTAGGTAATCAGAAATAATAGAGTTTCTATATAGCTTTAAAATCTCGCTAATTCTAATTTTTCCTTCTTTTAAATAGCGTATTTGAATTCAGTGAAAATTTTCCACAATAATAACTTTGATTAATCCAGTTGTCATTTAAATCACTTTTCTAAAAAGACTTGGGCCAAATTTCCATTGATGCAATACTAAAAATCTTTAAAACCTTGATTTATTCCTTTGAGAACCAACATTTTCATGAATAATCACAATATGTACATTGACAGGATCATGCCTCAGTATGCAATTTGAGTTTCAGACAGATTCAACCAATACTTTTTCATAAATGGCTATTGCAGGATTTAACATGGCAGTCTATGCCAGTCTGGCCCAAGCAAAACAAAAAATAAACAAAATTGACATCTATTACATCATCATTATTCAGCCATAGAAACTCTCTTATTTATAGTGAAACCTGTAAAATAACACCTCTAGAAGTGGAACACCTTTGTTAGTGGAACACTTCAAAGTCCCAAAACCAACTGACTTGGTGTTAAATAAACCTTTATAAGTGGAGCACTTCCCAGGTGGAACACTTTTTCGAGGAAAAAAGGTCTTTGACAGATTTTACAGTATTACAGTAGACCTTCCAATAAACCCTGCCATCTTTTGGTAAACCAAAGAAGCTATGATAAATTGGCTAGATTGAAGATGTCATAGGTTGTACTTTTTCAAAATTAGCTTCATCCTATTTTTGCTTGGACAGATTGCTTCCTACAACCTAGATCAATCTTCTTGCATAGTGCTAGCCAATGTATCATAACTTCTTTGATCTACCAAAAGGTGGCAGAGTTTATTGGAAAGGTCTATTTAATACTATGTAGCTGTTCATTTAGAAATTGCTTTGTCAATCACTTTCGATATTGCTTTGCTGGTGATCATTGTTAACATTACCCTTTAGTTGATTATTTAGAATATTTCTCTGTTCATGATCACTTTCAACATTGCCCCCTTGATGGTTATTTACAAAATTGTCCTGTTGATGATCATTTCCAACATTACTCTGTTGATGACTGTTGTCAACATTGCCCTGTATATGATCATTCACAAAATTGATCTGTTGTTGATCGGTAATAACATTCTCTTGTTGACCACTGTCCAAATTTCTCTGTTGATGATCATGGGCAAAATTGCTCTGTTGATTATCGTTTACAATGTTGCTCTGTTGTCCTTGGCCACTTCCTTCCTGGATAAGTCCAACCTGAAACTGTTGACCACCACTTTCAATTTGCATATATTGTTGGCCATCTCCTCCAACAACAATCCGACCTGGATTACCAACCATGTACCTTTCTCCCTCTGACTCAACAATGGCCATACCAGTATTGACAGCAACTTGGTTATTCCCTAGAGCTAGGCTATAAGGTATCATAGTCAGCTTACTAGCATCAGAGTGATCACGTTGAAGTATGAATTGCTGGCCAGCAATACCAGGCACCTGACTCAATTCAGTCCCAGGTTGCTCTGCACAAGCACTTACATCTGCAGCGATCTCAGTTTCATTCACATTAACATTAGGAACTGCACTTGGAACTATATAGCCTTCGATGGGATTAGATGATAGTTTCATTAACTGAGGAGCCCCAGAACCTATATTAACATTTTGTAGGTTAAGGGTGTTATGTACATCAGAACCAAGAGCTGGATTACTATCTGTATTATTATCACTTGGACTTTGTGCTGGACCTTGTGCTTCAGCAGTATCATCAGCAGTAGCAGATATATGAGGTGACTCAATCCTTGCGATACCTTCATCACCACTTACGGCATCAACCGCAGGTCTATCAACAGTTGCATCATTAGCACATGAATGCTGGTCAATCTGCTCTAATGAGGTAAATGTCAGGTTACAGCCACAACACATAAATAACTCAACAGACATTTGAGCTTGAGGCTCAGGAGGTAATGTAGCAACCGTTGCCCCCGCAGATGTTAATAATGCTGTCATGGCGCAGTTTCGTGCTGTTGCCTCTGCAAGGGCATTCGCTTTGTCCATGACGCAAGAAACAATATGGCGGTTGAGGGAACTCTTCAAGGTGAACCGTTTGCCACACTGTTGACACTGGTGCTCACTGTCCCCTGTATGTTTCTTCATATGGGCCTTCAGTTTCCACCTCAACTTGAATGACATGCCACATGTAACACATGAGTGCAAATTGATGTTGTGCTTCAGTATAACATGCTGAGCGCGACCTGGAAGAAAAATATAAGTACACTTGTAAATACAATTTAAGAATTCCAGGTCGGGGAAAAATTAAGCCCATCAGTTTACAATGAGTGTGTCGTCAGTTTGCTCATTTTAGCAATCAAATATCAAAAACAGACAGGCTTTGAATAAATCATTACAATGAATTGAACTTCATTTTCAGTTTCTACAAGAGCTTTTTTTCGAAAAAATATTGTAGCTCCCACAGTATCAGTTTTCACAATGTAGATATGGTTTGTGAATTATAATTTAACTTCCCCTGAGACATATTCCGACTGTTCTAGCCCTCTTCTGCACACTTGCAGTCAAACTTTCACTTGTAGGCAAAGGGTAAAGCTATCTTATCCACATTAAATATGTATGAGAAAGTGCCAAAGGGATTTTTAGACATTTTTTCAACTGGAATTAAAGTCCAAATTTAATGTATTAATATACATGTACATCTATTAGCCAGAATTTGCATGACCTATTTCATTGTATTTACATTTGACCCTGGCTATGCCTCCGTAATTGGATTTCAGTATGATATATATATATTTAGCAATTCTTACCTGACTGACTGGAAAAGGCAAAGTCACAGAATTTACAGTTGTATGGTCTTTCCCCTGTGTGTGTGTTCACATGAGCATCAAGGACCCTCTTCTGACTGAACCCCTTGTTACAGACTTCACAGATGAATGGGAATTGTCTCTCAGACCTGGTCTTGTGGATTTCAAGGTGCTCAACCATACGATAATGCTCCAAAAATCCTTTGTTGCAGATTTCACAGTGGTAACGCTTTACATTGTTGTGGCGTTGAATATGAACTGAGAGGTATGACTGGCGATTGAATTTCTTATCGCAAATATGGCATTCAAATCGACCAGGATTGGTATGCAAGTCTCTAATATGGGCCTCTAGTCTGTATTGTGAACCAAATCTTGTTGAACAATGTGGACATGTATATCTACCACTATGTACCTTCATAATGTGGTACCTCATGTCAGAAGGGAAACTTGCGAGGTAATCACACTGGGTACATTTCAAATCTTTAGGTCCCTTATATGCTGATTTGTTCACCTTACCCTCATGACGCTGAAGGTGTTTTTCCATTGAGGTTTTTAACAACATGCGATTACAAATTTTACACGCAGCCTTCAACTCCATGTTATGCTCATTGGTTTGATGTCTGCGATATTTTGAAAGATTTGAGAATGCCTTACCACAATGGGCACAAAGTAGAGATTTTGTCATGTGGACCCTTCGTATATGTTCTTTCATAAGCCTTCTTGTCTTTAACATTTGACCACATTTCTTGCAGAGAAAGTAGCGACATCTATACAAAAGTTCTGAATCATCTAACACCATCCTTTCAAGTTTTTTAGTGTTCATTTCATCTGTATTTCCACGAATTTTGAATAGTTTACTTGAATTAAGGTTTTCTTCCATTGCCTGTTCTGCAGCTTGCATTATTTCACTGTGGTTAATAATATCATTTAAGTCAACATTACTGTCATTAACAGTTCTAGAGTTGTCATCATTGGACATGCTTTCAATACATTCACTAGTTTCGGTAATTGTAAATCCAGAAGATGTTTTATTTGCAGGCTCGTTTTGATAGGAGTAATAAGTGTTTTGTTTGGGAAGTTTCTTCTGGAAGCAACCATGTTTTGCTATTATATTGGCTTTAAGTTCCATTGTTTCTCCACAAATTTGACAACAGCATTCCCCAGTGTTAGGCTTCATTATTACCTTTGGTGTCCCTGTATCCTCTGTACCAGTACTTGATGTGTCTTCTCTATTCCCTCTGTCAGAATTTGCACTCTGAATGTCACTGTTCTGTGGTGTATTGCTTTCGTTAGTTTGATCTAGATTAACCTGTTTCATAGCTTCAGTATTGGGATTGTGTATAACATCTGGATTAGGGGACATTGAATCTGCTCTTACATGAGTTATAGGTTCTTCATCAGGTCTGTTAATAGCATCCATATTAGGGGCCATGAGTTCTGGAGTATCACAATTATCTACCTCTTCGTGATTATCACTTCCCTTAAAGGAATACATTAGGTTTCTCTGTTTTGGGGGCTCTAAAGCCCCACCACATTTTTCAATGTGAAGCCTCAGCTCATTTTTGCTATGAAGTATAGTACCACACCTAGGACACCTCCAAACAAAGTCACATTGAGTCATATAGATCTGCTTACAATCCCGGTGATGATCTTTATATTTTCCTGTGAAGATTTCACCACAGTTAAGACAACGACCACGTTTCTTGCCATTTATACTAGGTAAGAACACATACTGTTTGGCTCCATTTCCGACCTCAACTTCCTTATACTGGTTCCTTGTGGAGAGATCACATTCATGATTCTCTCCACCCTCAGCTGAATGTACAGATACACCACACTCACATACTGTGTAGTTATGGGCTTGAAGCATGTGTCTGTTCAATGAGTTACGAGTCACAAACTCCTTCTTACATGCTAGACATACACATGGTACCTTCTCAACCTGGTTTGGTGGAGGCCCATCTGAAACTAAAACAAAATATATAGAAAACAGATGATAATTTACATTCATAATTTGAAAGTCGGAAATGTAGGAATAATTCTATATTGAACTACTTGTTGTATGTTTTGTTTTACCACATAGACTAACAGTTCTAATTTTCGAATGCTGTATTTATTTGTAAAACAATCAAATAAATATCTTTTAGAATATGTTAAAAAATTGAAATATGACAGAAACTCACCTTTGCTGTCATCTGGGTCTGAATCATCTGAAAGTGGTGCTTCGCCAGGTTCATGAACACCCTTGATATTTTCATCATTTTGGAAATTGTCAATTGTCTTTGAATTCCCCTGTGAAGCTTTTTGAACCATCTGGAAAATACAGTGCATATCAATACTGTAAATTCTTTTATACCATGGTCACAGCAATATCGGGTAAATAATACATAAAATGTAATAACAAGTGATAAATCACCTATTTTAGGATCAGGATGGAAAATCGGAATGATAATGGAATTGGCGGGATTCTCCATTTGGCAAAGGAGAAGACTTCACAGACAGTGTTTCTTGACTAAACATGACCAGCTGTATCTTGACCTAGTTCTAGACTGTACATGTACTGATCAAAACAATGCTGATTAAAACAAAAGTACCTATTACACAAACAGAATAAAAAATCAATATTTTCACAATATGACACAGTGCTACAATGCAAATACAGGTATACTGATATATACTAATATGAATGTAATATATAACAAGGCATAAACATGCAAAATGTAACCACCTGCCATTTGTTGCAGATGCCAAAGGCCCAAATCCAACCTCTGTCACAAAAAGTTGGAGACCATGGTAATGTAACATTTTTGGTGGTGACATATTAATTAGAAAACAGCAACTCCAAGGAGTAGCAAATACCAACGAACAAAATATATTTTACTAAATCCCTAGTCACTTTTGAAATTAAATGATAGAAATACCAAGGAATAAGTAGAGAAGTATTATTACCCTTTGGCAAAACCAAAGTAAAGGTCTCATGACCATATTAGCATGCAAAATCTGGAAAAAAACTCAAGAGCTGTGGTGATCCAATTCAAATAACGAATGTTGTGTAATCTGTAGTTAAGTCGAAAGAAGTACAGTGATGGCATCTAACTCTATTATACCTGTCTTTACAGGACCATTTCATGAAGACAGACAGACAGACAGACAGACAGAAGACATTAGACACTAAAGAAACTTTGTGAATTTCATTGCATTGAATGCTGATGTAAAGAATAGGTACTCAACACATGAACTTCAACAACACATATCATATATAGAAGCCAAGGTACAAACTATCTGCACAAAAGTTGGTGAATATGACTCATGGATGAGCACATCTAAGATTGTGAGACAAGGAAGTAGCTATAAGGGAACTAAGATCTTAAAGCCTGATGAGCTGGACTATATGCCAATCCTGGCAATGTTAAATACTGAGAATGTTGTAGTGGAGGATGTGAAGGAGAATTGTAGATTGAAAGACATTGGATGTGTCTCCATCAAAGTGAACAATACTGCTCTAAAAGACAATCTTGATGACTTGTGTAATCATATTCATACTCCAAGTGTGCCATACCTTAAAGGTGGGGAATTATTCCTATCTAAACTAAATGAAGCCGTGAAACGGGCCCTCATTGAAATAGACTCATTGACTTATATAGGTGAGCATGACCATTATGATGAAGACCCTAGTGAGCCTTACCCATTAGGACATATCAGTGTATGTGAGGTGACACATGGTCCAAGTATAAGACTAAAGATTGGCACTCCACTATGTACTGCCAAAGTGGACCTGTGTTTCTCTATAGAAAGTAGAGACACCAATCTTGGACAATGTGCCATGGTGTCTATAGAAAATGACCCCATTTCCTGTAAATGTGGCCTTCCGTCCCACACTCACTAAAAAAAACCTCCTATTGATCCTCCTGGCAAATAGGAGTTGTCTAAATCTCATAGAGAACTTTTCCTCACTCTTAAGCTTATCACTCACATTCTCAATGAGACATGTCGTCATCTAAGAATATACTCATTTACAATATCCTCCAGTTATGACATCCAGACACTTCTATGGCAACATCAACAAACATGTAAAGCAACCAATGTGGGGAACTGTTACAGAAATATTGTTCAGATGCTCAATTGTGGGGAACCTGATAATCCAGATCATTTATATGTTGGCACAATTGTTGCTCTTAAAAGACAGCTTCAAGACATGTTTTTCCCAAAATATAAGAGGAGTATTGCCCCAGTGAGTGTTATAGGATTTATCTGGATCTTACAGCAAGTGTGTCATACAGAATCTACAGACTGGTGGAAAACACTTTTCATTGAGGATAACACAAGGTATCATGACAATGAGCATTTGACTGAATTATGTGGAATATTAATCGAAGCAGATGCAATATTTCATGACATTTTTACACTATCTCCACCACCACCATTAACAGTGACATGGCGAGATGGCAGCAACAATCCAAAAGCATCATTAACAATCTTACATTAGTTCACAATTCATTGTATTGTACTGATCAAATGTTACATGAGATAACTTAGAGGACATGCAAAAATAATTCAACCTTGTTTTATTGACAATGCTTTTTCTTTACCCGCTAAATGCTGTTACTGTACAGTTACTCCAACAATGAATTATTTGAAATATGAATTTCAAATTTTAAATGAGACAGACGGATGGACAGACAGACAGACAGGGCTTCACTATGTCCCTACCAAACTTCGTTCCTTGGGATAATAATAATGTATTACATTCATGTATAACCTGTATTACATCACCATTTTATATGATGAATAAATATTATCACTTACTTCAGACAGTAAGTTATAGGCCTCTTGGACATCATCAACACTGCCAGAAATGGTGTACTTTGAATCACTATCACGCTCAAATCTGATGTTTGCATGGTTGGCAATGTAAGCTAAGATAGTCTCAGGATCATCTGATAGCACCTCAAACAAGTTCGGGTTGAGAGATACAGATTGGTTATCAAATATCTGAAATAAATAATAATACACTATGATAACTTGTACCTGAATATATCATGGTGACTGTCTTCCTCTTAAGTCATTGCTGGATCACAAAATATACTGTGTGACATTTTTGTGAAATTTGATTGACAGTTTCAAAGTTCTCCAAATCAAATCAATGACGCAGTTGTTACAAACATGCTGCAGGTATTCATATGGCTTAAAGCAACAAATTTCAAATTTCCTCTAAAATTGAACGGTGAAAGATGCGGGCCAAGCGGGTCCTCCAAGAAATTTTGGAGAAATGATATTTGATTGAGTGCTTTTTAGAGTAATGGAGGAAAAGGTATTTTCCTAGGAAAAAATTTAATAAATAAGACCTTAATTTTGAAACCCTTGCTTGACCCCCTACTCCCCCCCCAAAAAAAACCTCCAGATTTGTATTGAACTCAATGGGGTCAGATTTTGGTCAATTTTTTCCTGAAATTTCCTGAAATTCCTGAAGACTTTAAGCCATAATTCATACTTTGGAGTCATTAAAATGTTTTAGTTTTTCTTTTTTCATTGCATGATTTCAATACCTGGTCCATTATTTATCCTTTCAAAATTTCACTCACTAAGATTTCCTAGCTTTGTGTAAAATCTCCTGACCAATTTAGTTTTTTTGAGGCAACTCTGAAATAACCTGACTTTTCTCCCTGACCATAGCAAGTCTCAGACTCTACATGTTTTGCAGAGCTTCAGAGTCTTTAGAAACCGAGTGAAAACAGAAACTAAAACAATAGAATTGTTTTGCATGATATTTTTGTCTTACTCCTCCATATATCAGATGACAAGGACACGTGGGGCTAAAAATGTTGTACCAAACCCCTCAATTGATAAACTGTTAAACTGTATACCTCACTAGGGGGAACCAGGTTCTTCTTCTTGTTGCCCTTCTTTATGTAGTATGCATGTTCTTTGTGTGGTCTTGCCTTCTTTGGTAGCTTAAGTATTTGTTCTATATTCTGTAATCAACAAACAAAATATACATTTACATGCAGAACAACTGATAAGGTGCAACAAGGACAAGAGCTACTTTCTCAAAAATGCTATAAGAATTCAGAATTGTCTCAGCTCATTGAGGAAATATTAGTACTAGTTTTGGAAATCCTCATTTAATTTTGGAAAACCATGTATATATTTATTCTAAAGAATTTTACACATTCCTGCATCTTACATGTAAATAGCTGCAATAATTTGAAACTTTGTTTGGCTGATGACAGAAACATACCCATGCTAAACTACTGGTTATGAATACAAGGACTTTTTACAATGTTAAAATATGTTTTTAGCAATGACAAGGCAACAAAGTAGGTACAGTTGTATATTCATTTGTACTAATAACTCAGATGCCACTAGGTAGTTACCAGTTTCACCACCAGGTGGCTATGGTCGTTCGGGTCAGATAGCATGGCGGGTATAGTAGAAAGTTCCCTTTAACTTAAAGATTCATCTGTATTAGTGGTTCAATTTTCACATTACCCTTATGTATCAGTGTATATGTGCAGTAAATGTTATCTTTCCAATATAAAAAAGTAGAGTAAATATGAGCATATATAGCTACAAAGCATCCACAAAATGTACACTAGCAAGCGTTAGTTCAAATTCTTACTAGCTCTTCAGTGGGTTTAATTCTCGGTTGTCTCGCTTTGGTTGGAAAGCCTACAAATTCTTCTTCCTGTCTCGCAACTGGCTCTGTACTAAGTTCTTGGTGTGCATCAATGTGTAGCAACATCTCTGTATAGAGGGTGCCTATGCCAACATGTGGACAACAGGGACAGTGGAAATGGGGAATGATCACAAGGACACCTTCATTGTCTGTACAGTGCATACGGCATTCACACAACATTTTTCCTGCATTTGCATAAACAAGGCATTAACATACAAAATATCAACGCCTGCCTTTTTTCAGATGATGAATGCCAAATACTGACTGTAATATAACAAACAACAAATACAATCCCCAAAATAGTTGGAGACCATTAACAATTGTTTCTACTTCTGGTGGTGACATATAAACTATGGTATATTTAAGTAAAAAGGCAGATTTTCTAAAAACCTACCGTGAGAAAAGTAAAAATGGTAGACTTTTAATGTTTTTACTGAAAAAATTGGTACAATAATTTGCAATTTTTCCTGGAAAAAATAAGTTTGGAATGGTGCAATCTTACCATTGACAGGTATAAAGTTCTTAAGGTGTCTGTCCAGGTGGTTCCAATATTTCTTAATGGTCTCTATGGGGCCAAGTTTAGAGTTATCGCACAGTCTACAATGATAGTGTCTTTTTCGCCTGAATGACTGGTTACAATCTGAAATATGTAAAAATTGTCCGTATATAGGAAAACCTGAATTAGTGACAAACATCAACATATTGATGTTTTGTATTACCAACTACATAGCTAGCAAGAACATTGAAGTAACACATTAAGAAAAGAACATTCTATAGATAACTAATGCCAGTGTGTTATAACAAGAAAATCTTTTAATATCTACATGTTAAACCTGCACATCGCTCCAAAACGCAATATTTGACATATATTGTTTTTACACTTTCAAGCTCTAAAATAAAGTTTCTGTAAATAAAAATTGTTTTTTTCTGTGTAATATCAAAGAACAATCACTTAGTAAAAAAAGAAAAAAGTACATGCAGGATTCGAACCCGGGCCGCCTGCGTGCTTAGCGAGCATTCTACCGCTGGGCTACCAATTCATTATAACTTTCGAGCGTAATTAAACGCTACTTATTTTGAATGCTATAATTCAGAAGTGACGTCACGTTCTTAATTTAGAAACCTTCCAAAAATCATATTGTCGTCGACAAT